TTTCTTTTTTTCATTACAATTTTAATTATGTGTGAAGCATATATAAATAAAGTATATTGAAATAATCACATTTATAATACACGATGTTGTAAAAGGTTTATTTTTCTTTTTGTAATTCATGGAGTAACAAATGTAATGTAACAATGCAACAAAACTTTCAGTTTTTCGTGCTTTATTTAGCATGACATACTGTTTGCGGCAAATTTTGTTTAAAAAAATATAAATATATTGTTAATGTGATGAGAGAAATAGTACATAAATTAAATAAGATTATATATAAAGTTGTTATTATTTATTAAATCAGAGACTTCTTATTTGTAGATATTACGTTTTCTACACAACATGCATGTTTCAAAAACTTTTTGCAAACGTTCAAAGACACACACTGGACGTTTTTAATCTATTTAGCATCTTTTGAGTGTCTTTAAGACTTTTTATTGAAATATATTGTATGGAAAACGTAATACCTATAAATATGAAGTCTTTGATTCAATTGCTTCCTACAATTAATATAACTATTTCATAACAAATGAAATAATAGTTATATAACAATTCGATAATTTATATTCCAGTTATATAACTTGCCAATAATTTACATAACTGCTATGTTATCATTCAATAATCAAAGTAACAGTTATGCAACATTTTTGTAACAAATTATATTTCTGTTATATAGTTGCAATTTCGTATGAGTGGGAAATTATAACTAACATCTACGTTACTTGCAACTTACATGTTACATTACATGTTACATTCCGTTACCTCACAGTTATGTAACAGTTATATATTTGTGTTTGCTGGGTGGTGACCAGTGGTATACCGCTTAGGATCGAAATTATCGCAGGAGGATTCATGAAAGTTTGGAATGTATTGACAACCTTCGATATCTAGTAGTTTATGAGACATGAGAAAATTAGGAATATAAGTATATTTTTGTAAACATTATGATTTTCTCATTTTTCACCTTCGCATAATAATTCTCAGTATTTGATTACTATCAATATTTAATTTAGTGATTTTATTATCAGTATTCACCAGATATTAAGTACTGGCCAAAAAATTACTGAATTACTGGTAATATTTAATCACTAATAATTTTTCAGTATTTCTTAGTATGATATTTCTATAAGGGAGCAAAATTTGCCAAAACCAGAGCCTACACACATGGCTATGGTTGTAGACACTGGCTGTGGCTGTGGCTACACATGTAGACACAGAAGGCTATGGTTTTGCTGTGGGTTTTTTATCAAATTTGTTGCCAATCTGTGTGCAGTCTGCGCTCAATTTGCTTACTGGGGTGATATAATTGCTAATCGTTATTTCTTAGTAATATTATAATACGCACACGCACACGACCAGGCGCACGCACGCACGCACGCACGCACACACACGCGCACACACACACACACGCACGTGCGCGCGCGCGCACACACACAACACACACACACTAAAGGTAATAATTCTTAATAATTTTATATAATTATATAATTAACTCAGATATTAAAAAATATGTTATTATTATACTTACTAAATTTGATCGCTGTCAAGATTATCTAGTTAAATCTAGATACAAAACTGTACACCAATATCTTAATAAAACGAATTAAAAATATAAAAATATAAATATGACTTACATCATGAAGAGGATATGCTGCTATATATGCATGTTCGGTTATTAATCTTTCAATACCAAATGCGAAATCATCTTCCTTAGTTTCTGTAAATTTAGTCCTATCCAGTATAAACTGTACAATACGGGATCGAGTGGCCATGGTAAATAAATTCGGTGAATCTAAATCAAATAAATATTCCTTGTCTCTACTATACACTGCTGTAAAATGGTGTCTCATTGTTGGGAAGATGGTTGTATCCACATAACATTTGCTCATAATTCTTCGTATAAACGTATTTACTTCTTTTATAATAACATTATTGCACGTTTGAGGCATTTCGCAACTAAGCAGATCTTTCATCGGCAACCTGAGCTTTAATATTTCAGCATATCTTCGTAAAACTTCTTTGGTCGCATGAATTTTTATGAAATGTAAACCATTTGGTTCCACTTGTTCATATTCCAATTGCAAGCCCTCTTTTTCCAAATTTTTTTCAAATATCTGAAAATGTAATACAAAAAAGCTTTAAAAAATGTTATTTTTATTTCATAAAAAACTTATCAATCACATTTAACATAAAAATCACATTTTCTCATAGTTTCTAATTTGCTAACATTTTAGTAAACACAATAATATAACAGTATCGTTGCCGTAATGTAACAACCCACATAGAAAAAGATCTTCATAGGATATCCTAATTTGATCAAAATGGTTTCAGTTTGATTCAAACTGAAACGTAATCCCAGACAGCACATGGATATCCTATAAATATCCATAAAATATCCTTTAAGGATATTGAAAATATCCATAAGCCATCCGTTTTACGTCCTTCGGACATTCAATAGATGTCGTGGTATATTTGTGGGACGTTTGTGGGATATTCATATACGAAATTGGAGGACATGCTAAAGTTCCCGACATGTCCACAAGGTATCCGATGGACGTTCAATAGACATATAAAAGTAGCATCCGGATTTGTAATTTACAAGATAATTTTGTAATTTGTAAATTAAAAGGATGAAACATACATACTCAGACAGCACAAAATATTTATAAAATATTTACAAAATATTTATAAGATTTATTTGAATATTTTATAAATATTTATCAAAATATTTCATAAGTATTTTTATGACATTAGCTTCAATAGATCATAAATATTTACCATAAATAATATAAAAATTCTTATTAAAATATATACAATTATATACTTTTTTCTTTTTTTAAACTTTTCTTAAATTTTTAAAATATATATGTTTTTAGTTTTCACATTATATTATTTCACACGCTACTTAATTCAAGTTAAATTGTACATCAAAAATTTGTTTACCATTGCCGAGATTCGAACCTGAGAACTTCTGGTTCTTGAGTCGTTTATCTTACCTACTGCGCCACTGTCACCTTGACTGAGAGACGCTTTGTATTGTATACACATATTGTATATCCATATACGATACAAATTATTTATTTAAAAGAAAAGAATATATAATATAATATAAGAAATCAGAACGTTTTCTGATAATGAAAGAAACTTTAATTTAAAACCTAAAAAGATACTTTTAATATTAGAAAATAATTTATTTAGATTTATAAAATGATTTACTTGTACTTTATTTACTTTAAAACAAGCAAACATTTATTTAAACACAATTTTTACATTTAAAAAGTTTTCTTTTTGTAAGGAGATCATTTTTTTCTAGAAATTCATAATGCTACAGCTTATTTTACAAATTTTAAAAAATATTACTTTATGTTTATTATACTTTTTAAAATGTAACAAATATTTTTTTAAGAAATCATATTTAACAAAATATATTTCTTTGATTTAAAGAATTTTTTTCAGTATACATTACCAATTTAAATCTTGATTTTCTTATTTCTTCTATAATTTAATAATTATAAATAATTACATTAATTTTTTTCATATATAATATTTATAGAAATACTTACAAGATATTACTACAAATATTAATTTTTTTTTTACTATAAATATTCCATAAAATATTTAGCCTATATTTTAATAATATTTTGAATAAAGATTTTAATATTTCTTTCATATATAAATATTTATAAAATATTTATATATTTTCAATAAATAATTCGAAATAAATATTTATGAATCTTTATCATAAATATTGTGTGCTGTCTGAGTAACCCGTTAAAAATATATAAAACTATATAAATATATAACTATATAAATATAAATATATAAAAATATATAAATCCGTTCTCTAACATATTCTGAACTTTGTTTCATCTTGGACATACGAGGGTGGTCTGAAAAGTTTCCGACCTAACAAAGATACAAGTCATTTTTTCTGAAAATTGTTTTTTATTTTTCAACATAGTCTCCTTGTAAATCTACACACTTCTCCCAGCGATGCTCCCATCTCTGTAACCCGTCGAAATAGTACTCGGCGTTTTTCTCTGCAAAATAATTGTTCACGAAGGTGATTGCCTCTTCATTTGACGAAAATCTCTGTCCTCCGAGCGCAATTTTTAGATGAGGGAACAAAAAGAAGTCGCTTGGGGCTAGATCTGGTGAGTAAGGTGGATGGTCAAGCAGTTCAAACCGTAATTCGTGGATTTTCGCCATGGCAACC